CTTGTAGGTAGCGAGGTCCTTCGGGGCTCCGGGTCTTCTGCCAGCGCTTGTATGCTTCCTTCTTCTGCTTCACGACTCGCTGGACCTCCTCGTTCCAGAACCACGCTGCCTTGTCTCCTCTGAATTCCACCTCGCGTCTCGCCCAGTACCTCCTTGGCACATCGCAGGATGGTCTCAGCCGCGTTGCCCCAAGTCCGCTGTACTGGCCCGTTAGGATCTGGGAGACCAACTTCCATTATCCTTCGTTTGAGGTCATCTTCTCCGCTTGGTGCAACTTCCACCACCGGATTCTCCTCTCGGTTCTTACCCTTGTCTTCTTGGGGAGGTCCATGGCAATGTCTGCCAGGAGGGGCCTGTGCTGGGAGCCAATCTTCGCCAGGGAGTACTTTGATGTCTTTTACCGATCTGAGGGATGATCTTCTTGGTACTAGAACCATTTTTGCAATTTTTGCAAGGCATGGTTTACAGCCTCGGCAGGGATCGAACTCGCGGTTTTTCGGAGGTGCAGACATGAGTCTAACCTCTTAACCACTCGGCTATCCCTGCCTTTTTATCACGTGGTCTCTACCATTTGATTTTTCCTGATACCATGGAAGCCGCCATAACCTTGCTTGGGTTTCCTCATCTTATATCAACCACGAGCAGCTTATGTTGCGGTGCTACACACTCAGATGGAACAACCTTCGCATTGCTAACAACTGGCATATCTCGTTTCCTCACCATCACGTATTGAGTTTGACTTTTTCGATCTACACTATCATAGGTGACTAGGTGACTTTCACCAAGTCTTTTCTTTCACAAGTCTTTTCTTTTTTCTTGAAGAAAGTGTTGGTGATGACAAGGTCGTTTGCCTCAGCGAATCCAAAATCCTCTATCCGTCTTTATGCGTGCACCATATCTATAGTTCCCATAGCAGCTGTACCCGTTCCGCTTCGCGCCAACGTGGCCACTGAGATCGCCGCATAACAAGAGAAACTCCAGGAACTGCTACCATTGTCTTGCAGATCTGTCCAGAATCGTTCTTTCTCCTCGTCTTCGCAGCCACATTGTGGAGCATAGGCAGAAAACACGTGTACACGGCAAGTTTCACAATCAATGATAGCAGAGATGAGCCTGTCCTGAGTGGCGCTGTACTTCCGCGATGTGGACTGCGCAGCTCGATATTCGACGGCAATGGCCACTCCCTTGCTATTGGATGTGCCATAGTAAGCTGAGCTTGTACCCGTTCTCCAATATCGCACGATTTTTGCCCTCTCCATCGTGTCTCCTGGATGCATGCAATGGTCACCTTGCGCCTTTTCAACATTTCGGCCAACTCGCGGCTCCGTCCTGTGAGAGTTCCAATGTTCAATGTGGCAATTCGTATTGGCTTCAACTTCTGCGAGTGCGAGTGCGAGTGCATTGTTGCCTGTTAAGGTTGCCTAGAGGGAATAGAAGCAGCACAGTCATGCTAGTTTTCCACAGAGTGGGATACCTTGCATTCCGACAGGTAGCGCGTGAAGAGTCGAGCCAGAGTTTTGATGATAACTGGCGGTGCATTCTTCAGATGTTCCGGTTTAACCCTGTCGAGACCGGGTGCTGTACGATTCTTCACCGACTTGATGGCGTGTCGGACTTCGGAAGAGAGAACTGAGGGACGACGTATCCATCCTGTTGCAGTTGATAAGTAGGCAGATGGACATGGCTATCGAAGAGATCCGAGTAGAAGTCGTGGATGACTTTCTCCATTGCCCTTCGGGATGCAGTAACTGTTCCATGGACGTCGGAGGCAGGTCATCTTGGTCTTGTAGCTGGCAAAGCTTCGGCGGGCATTGCGGATGCTCCTCCCAGCCTCTGCTGCTTCAGCTAATACTGCTGCTCTTCGCTCCATGAGCACCTTTTATCTCCTTTTGCATATCTTCGCTCGGGCGTGAGTTGCTGGCTCCACATTGGCGTATCAACTCGAGAGCTTCCGACAGACGTCCCTTGGTGACTTTCAAACTCTCTGCCTTCCTGCCACAATCGTGAAGATGTTCAACGAGCCGATAGTACTCCTCGTCGATGTTTTCGATGACGGAATCCTCCCATAAGCTGACGAGGAAGTGAAGTGTCCCAGTTGATGACTGTCCTGGGGCTTCGCTTCCTGAACTTTGCTGCTCTCTCAACACGCATCGAGAAGTGGAATCTTGCGCGGAGGAGACGATGGTCCGATCCCGTGTAGAACTTCGGAACAACAGCGACGTCGGTCAGGCAAAACCTTCGATTGAAGATGATGTGGTCTATCTCGTCATATTTAGCACTGTCCATCAGGTGACTCCCAAGTCGGAGGTGGGATGGCCTTTGACACGGACGCGCACCAACAGACAGAGCGCTTTATATACATTTATGTAATAGGAATATCAAATTATGTGAAGGCCAGTCGCCAGCCAGCAGTAGAAAATCACTTTGTGGAGCACTCTGCTACGGCACCCTTATTAATGACTGCTGTCACCAATGAACGAGTCGCCCTAGATTTTCTTCCCTTTTATTCTTAACAATAAAATTGCACCCCTAATGAAGGGGCTTTTAATGAAAGGATTCTGACGAGGAACACCTTGATAAAAATGTGAAAGGAATACTCAAGTGTCCACTGTGCACGTAATTGGGTTGCACAAATTCTTGGATGGCATTACTTAAGGCAACTCTCTAATATTTCATGACTAAAGAGGAACAGCTGAGTGAGAGAAAAACACATTTCTGATATTACGTGAGACGTGGATGATATTTATATCTTCGCATCGGAACTTACTTATTCTGTTCAACAAAGGTATGTAATAGGCGTTGATCTGGTAGCCCATAACACTGAACTTTGCTAACTCTTTCCTCAAATCAAGAATCACCAAAAGCCTCTTGAAATTCTTCATTTTTTCGATATAGGCAAGCCTCTCTATCATGTCCAGAAAGGGAAGATTTGCTAGTGCTACGTGCTGAAAAGATGCGTATAATAAATATTCTGCCTATGTGAAGAATGCACACTCACAGCAGCGTACTCTTCATCTAACGCGGTGTCATTGTAAAACATATCGTCCTCGATTAGACTCCATGTGATTTTATCCAGCTTTTGTAGTACAACCTAAGGCATGATGTATAATTTTGTATTGCTAGCTTAAGAGTGGTTCTGAAAATATGAAATTACGATGCAACCGAGTAATTATTTTGGATTTCAAGGCTGTTGTCGAATCACTCTGCTTTGTCGCTTCCTCTCTTCTTGCGTAACTCTGGACTCTGGACCTTCAGTCGTACTTCTTCTTTCTGTCTACATAGCCCCTATCATTGTGCAAAAACTCTGTAGTCGAACAAATCCCACCTGCCATTTGCTAGTTGGCGGAGGCTTGGTTTTTTACTACTTTCAGGAGGAATGAACAGATTTTGGCTAAGATTCGACAAAACCCACTCCCTCATTTTAGTTTGCGCCACTTCAAAAACCTGTCTGACTATTTTCCTATTTGATTCTGTTGAAGGCACGGATTGCGCACCCACTATATTCCCCTGTTTGATTCTACTGAAAGCATGGATTGCGCCTGAATTGGGGCAATTCTTCCTCCGAGCATACAGTGTGAAGAGAAATGGGACAAGAGCGAAAATCACTATTGAAAACTTTGCAATTTCCCTTGTGATCAGCGGTATGACAAAGAGATGGGAAAGGGACTTTAGTCAAAAATGACCTCTTAATCACTACTGGGATGAGCTCACCCCGCGGCAGACGCAGACGGCAGACGGACCAGCCCAACGCTGGTCCGTCTGCCTACTAACCCCGCGATGGAACAGGTGAGCGGGCCTTACTGGAGCGTTCCTTCATGACGCGTTATTTAGCTAGAACGAATCTCAATCGAGGTTAGTTTATTTATGTAATAGAAACACTCGACAAACTGTATTACACAAAAATTTCGCGAACAAAGAGGATGTACAATCTTGTTGTGGAGGGGAGAGATATATTGAGAATTATTGCTCACTAGCCATTTAGAAAAAGCCACGAGGAACGGATAAGGAGCAGAAAAACCACGTGGATGATCGTGACTCGGTCGCGACATGCTCACTGCCATCCGAATTGTAAAAATCTCTCGTCCACAACACTAGTCAGTTTACAGGGGTATATCAATTAGTGGTACCCGGAGAAAAGACAGAACGGAAAGAGGTTGAATCCCTCATAGCAGCTGAGCTTTTAAGGGGCCCTCAAAAGATGATCACAAGAGTTAGGGCCAGCTAGAATGGTAATAGGAATATCCGATTGGTTAAAGATTGAAGTAAACAATAATCATACATTCACGAAGTAAGCACGCTGGGTCACTTTCTTTTAAGCTGATAGGGAAAATAGCTCTTGAACAATTATAGAAGGCGAAATGCACAAAATATCACTTTATTGAATATTGCTCACTAAAAAAATTGCCGACTGTTACAGCGTTGTCAATGTAAAAAAAAACAGTGATAATGTAGCATAAGCACTATGAGACCCTGAGAGCAGGAAAAAGCTCGATGACTGCGGCACTGTTCATTTAGATGAACTTCTGGAACGCTTCGAAAATTCAAAGGTTAGCTTTCTATCACTCAGTGTGTGTGTACCTAACCCAATGGTTCAGTTCAGCAGCTTTTTTGTGTTAGTCTTACAACCAGTTGGTTTCCCCTTCTCTCTCCCTTCTTTCCCTACCTTCCCAAGAGATACACCAAGGATAAGGTTAATATAATGAAGTGATAAGAAATCCAAGAAAGAAGCGTCTTTATTTTTTTACCTTTTTGAACTCAGCATCCATCCATTCGTTTTCTTTAACTTCATCCTTCAGTGCTGTTACGATTTCAAGGACCATTTCTTCCATCTCCGCTTTTGGGGCCTGAAAACGCAGCTTATTTAGCAGAATTGCGTGCCGAGAGAGCATCTCCATAGTGCTTCTTTAACAGGCTAAATATTCAGGAGTGAATTATGAGGCAATTCAATCAAATGTGAAAGTAGGGGTAGGTAGTGGACCGCCAGTGCAGAAAAAAGAAAAAACTGTGAAATGCACAAGGGATACGAGTCTTTTGCTCTACGCTGCAAGACCGGACAGGGAGATGAGAGATAATGTGAGCGCGGAGAGCGCTAGAGAAGTCTAAGTAGAGAGAGCATAGCAGATCAACATTGCGACGCAGACAAGATATCGAGCGGTGGGCGGAGCGTGTCGCAACAGGTGGAGCGTGTCAAAGTTCTTAGCGCCTAGCGTCTAAATAACGCTTTTCGAAGTAGGGAAGTGACGCGACCTCTGCACTTGCGTACCTAGCGCTTCTAGCCACCGTAAAGGCTCATTAAGTGGGTCTGAGCCCAAACTTTGCCTCTAACCAGAATCTGTTCAAAATTTTCCTCTCTTCATATATAGGAAAGCTAGTACGAGCTAGACGCTGGCGACGTTTTGAAAAGAAAGGATGCTGAAATTGGAAGAGCTTAAGAACCTCCGACAAGGAAGGTCTTAAAACGGACCGAAGTGACATTCTCTACTGCCAAATTTTTTTTCAGGATTGGGCTGTTTGTGTATTTTTGGCGACCCAATACAGGTTTATAAGCTTCAAAGGATGGACCGCGATCGAGTTGGCGTGTTATTCTTTTGCTGCTGAGTTGCCGCAAAATCTACGTGACCTCCAATGGACTATTCCTGAGAAGCTCATGCCAATCACCCAGAGGCATCTGCGGCTTTACAGGACAACGAGTTTGCAAGGGAAGCCATCATATTTCTGAGATGTCATAAAGAGGCGGTAAATATACAGCATCATATTGCTCACCAGCTTTTCAGCTTGAGGAAGACCGCTTTCAAAAGCAGCTGACCTAGTAATATTTCCCAAAACGGTATGTGCGAAAATATTAATTTGTTTTTCATTACTGAAGAGACCAAGACTGAGTGCACACTTTCACATGGTACCACACAGGAGTCCAAGACTTGCAGTTGGGATGAATTAGGGGAAGAAGTTTCATCGAGAATGACATCATTTACAACATTAGTTTGATCCTTTCGGCCTTGGCTGTGGCAATTTCCAGAATCAGATTCAAATGTCTTCATTACCACTGCAACAGCATCTTTCGTCAAATCAGCTGCTCCAAACCGAGCTGGTCTAGAACGAGCCCTTGTCTGAACCTTGGATTACTCTTGGTTTCTCAAAGGTCTAAAGCGACGACGAAGCAAATTTGTAGGTAGACTCACAATAAACTTGAGTGAACGAAATCAAAGGAATAGCGAGTAAAGAAAGAGAGATCAATCCCTATCGGTGCAAAAATCAAAAAAGAGGACAGGCGGTCACGTCTTTGGCCAAAGAGATACAAAAGAACAGCGAGCCTTCAGTGTAGCGACGCGTTATTTATACGGTACTTCCACGCACGAGCAGGGTGGTGAAGGCAGCCACCGCGTTTTTGGGCTGATGACCACATTCCACCAAAAAGGCCGAATGAACAGCCTTTTCTATGGGGGAGGCATGTGATGAAAGGATGTCATCATACCAAAAACGCGGTGGCCCCCTCGACCACCCTGGCCGTGCGGGAGGAATTTGCGTACAAATGACGCATTGTGACATTGGAGGCTCGCTGTTCTTTTGAATGTCGTTGGCCGAAGTGGCCGCCTGCCCGCCCTTTCGCCTTGTGCCCAGATATTAATTGATTTCTCTCTTTTTTATTCGCTAATCCTTTTATATTGTTCACTCTAGTTTGTTGTGGATGCACTGAATGAATGATCCTAGGACCTATTTCTGGTCGGACTCCAGACACCTAACCAGTTTCTTTCTAACCTTAAAGCAGAGTCAACCCTGCGTTGCGCAGTTCGCAACGGCACGTTCGAGAGAGATCCTCAACGCACGCTGTATGGGCGGAGACACAGACGGCTCGAGCATGCGAGTGTGAATGTTCGCGCGAGAGAACGTGTCTAATCGGGCGAAACTGCGCAACGTGGCCGTTGAGAACTGCGCAACGCAGGGTTGACTCTGCATTGAAGAGACCAGGACTAATCGACACGATTCAGACAACAGCTCGCTCTAGCTCAGCTGAGTTGGTATGAGGGCTGAGAAGCCCAAGGCGAACTTGAGCGACGAGGAAATGGATTAAGAGATTAGGTCGGGTTCTCCTCTCTGAGCCAACAATACAAAACGAACATCAGTAGTCGTCAGGAGTTGATTTCAATGTATGATATAAGGGGCGGGACGGGAGCATCGTGGGGCGTTTCCATGAACCGCTGTGCAGGGTGGGACGGGAGCATGTTTGTTGAGGGACATAAAGTGATAGCGACTGATAAAAGCTGATAACAACGACATCCGGAAGACTGTAGAGGTCATTTAAGAATATATTTGAGATTACGCAATTCATTTCAATATCATTCAGTTTTTGTTGTCGTCCTTAGCCTAAATTACAATTTGGCCGCTACAACTCCCCGAGTTCAAAAAAATGTTCGATGGGTGTTTGAAGAAACATGATAATCACTAGCGGGTTGCTACCTTTCAACATCATCAGCTTCAATGATTATTCGACCGCGAAATTATTTTGACATTCGATGCATAATGGTTGTTAACAGACAGCATTTTAGCTCCGTATTCCATCGCGCGTATATATAGAGCGTTCTCGTTGGCGAATCGTACGTGCGATTAGGCGATTAGGCGATTAGGCGATGATTCAAAAGAAAAGCATACGTATCGATTAGGCGATTAGGCAAGTGGGCGATTAGGCGAGTGGGCGTTTAGGCGAGTAGTCGATTAGGCGAGTAGGCGAGTAGGCGATAAGAGAAGGATATGCATTGATTTGATGCTCCGCCCATCGGAGCGATCGCCTAACAGCCTAATCGCCTCTCGCCTACTCGCCTACAACGTTCTTTGGGCAGAGCGAACCGATCAATACGTACGTGGTGCTCCCCGCCTGATCGCGCTACTCGCCTACTCGCCTAATCGCCCAACCTACACCGTTACATTTCTTCAGCGTCATAGATAATTTGGGCTAATCGCCACGTGCGATCGATCAACGTCTGAAGCTTCAGTCATCCAGTTGATCGAAGCTTCTCGAGCAAACCATTTTACACGTAAATATACTCGATATCGGTGAGTTGGGGTGGGCGTGTCACCGGAAGTGACGTGCACTTGATAGAAACTATGTGGATAAGCTGCTTCCAACATACATCGCTGGCTATCAGCAAAGCATGCTGGCAACAGCTTATCCACGCACTTCTATCAAGTGCACGTCACTTCCGGTGACACACCCACCCCAACTTTCGGATATCGACTGTAACGCTCCACCGACTGTCCAGTTTCACCGAAACCTTCGACCGAAGCCTTTAAAACCCATGCGCGCGGCAGCATGCAGAGCTAAACTGCTAAACAATAACAAGAAGAAAATTCCACGAAAGAAATCAGGGCCGAAAGGGTTAATGGAAATCTTTCGAAAAATGCCTGCATTCTCTCAAAATGAAACGTTGTATAGTTGTGGAGGTACTGGCAGAAAGTTGGTCACGCACGGAGAATCGTTCTGCAGAGAACAGCTCAAAAATCACACGTCTATGGACAGCAAGGCTAGATCACGTGGTGCCAAAGGCGGGGTATGGAAAAAAGTGTGCATTGGGGCGGTCACGTATTATTCGACGCAATGAAAGAATCCGGCTAAAGCGTTTGATTTTGAAGAATAGAGATATTGGTAGAATATGAAGCAGTAAAAGTGTGAGATAATAGGTAATAAGTAATAGGTCAAAGAGTTTATAGTGACACTCGATGGATCAAGCGGAAGCGTTCTCGCCGCCGCATTTGTGGCAGATGTTCGGCAGGAATTTAAACATGTAGCGGTTCGTCAGATTATCGACAACGTTTTCGTTCTTCTCGTTCTTAGCGTGGACGATAGGAGTAGCCAGTGAATTGTGCGTGATAGTATCATGATTTTCCCGGGAAGGAAGTTCTCCCAGTTGTATTGTGTAAGAAAAGGTAGCAACTTTTACCAGGTCACCATACCCTGCCAGTGCGCAACCTCCACTCAGAAGAAGAGAAGATGCAGGGAAAAAATTCTTGCTCACATTTTTCGAGTGAGATCGTGCGTACATCGCCATAATTGCCAATGGGTAGTGCCTCTTAGTTTCTATGAAGCACACATCACTTCTTTCTCGCGGCAATACATTGTCAGTTCTCCATGCAAATCTCTGCAAATATAATAAGCAATCTGCTCTCCTATGTAAACCGCTTCACATAACTTGCAATTCTGTAGGCTCAGAAAAACTTATCTTCAAATATGTATTTGAATGAGTCTCCAATTGGAAAATGCTCTAGATATCATCGTTAGGTATTCGCGTACCATGATAAATTCTGCATTGCGCATATAAACGAATTTGGTGCTAACTTAGTTGGGGGGGGGGCACGCGGCGGCGCGGCAGTCTGCTCGCCTGGCATGTTCGGAAATCCGTGGGCCAGGGGGAGTGTAGGCCAGTCTAGGGGGTGGGGGTGGGGGCAGTCACTTGACATGCGTGAAAAGCTGGAATGTTCGAGTTTACACTGTCTCGCTCGAGAGAGCCCAGGTGAGCAGACTGCCGCGCCGCCGCGTGGCCCCCCCCCAACTAAGTTAGCACCCAATTTTCTCCTATTTTTCAAAAAATTTGCCTCAAGCTTTCCATATTTTGCAAAATTGCACATCAACCCCATATTTTCTGTTTTCTTTTCATTTTTGCTCAGATAGATTTATTCAATGTTATACGCTTCCTCTTCATGTAAAAGCAAAGAGGGAAATCGTCATCGGAATCAGAATAAAGGTAAATCGCGACATCATGAAAGTGCTGTAAAGCGGTCAGACTGAGCGAAATTTGGGAAGAAGTTTGCTTGGAGCAAATAATTTTTTAGCAGGATACGAACTAAAGTAAACCAAACAGTTGTATAAAGTTGTACTCGGAAATTGAACCTTTCTCGAAGCTTCATAATTCGAAGGCAAGATTCAGGATGAAATTGATGAAGTAATTCCACTCAAATGTGTAAATAGAGGGCGTCAGTGGAGAAAAAAGGAAAAAAAATCGTGAAACGCACAGGAAACACTAGCCGTTCTCTACGCTGCGGAGAAGCTCAAAAAGCCGGTAGGTAGATGAGAAGTAATGTGAGATCGGAGAGCCGGAGAGCGGTAAAGTAGTCGAGTACAGAGAGACAGAGTTCTGAGTACATAGCAGATCAACATTGCGACGCAGCGGTGGGCGGAGCATAACAGTACTAGTGTAGTCTGCCGAAGTCCTTAGCGGCTAGCGTCCAAGTAATGATTTTCGACGTAGGGAGGTAACGCGACCTCTGCACTTGCTCACTCAGCGCTTCCAGCCACAGTAAAG